TTATTTAGCATCTACAATGCAAATGATGGTAGTGAGTACTATAATCATCATAGGTAGGTGTCAATCATTCTACCCTACCCAAGCATCTGCGAGTCATCCCAGACCTGCATGCCAACTTCCTGTTAGACATTCCTCATAGGCATTCCAAAGTCAAGATCTCTCAAACACATTTCATCCCTGCCCTCCACTCTGACCCCCCGGAGTTTCTCTACCAGTTAATCCATCAAATCAAACCAATGTCTCAGGTAAGAATCAGTCAACTTTCACCTGTTAGCTTGGCCATCAAGTTCTGTCACTTGTACCTCTTAAATGCCGTCTATCTATTGTTAGAGCCTGTCTTCTGTCTACTGCTATGGCTGCCATTATTGCACTTTGGACACGCATCATTTGCTTGAACAATTGCAATTACCTGTTGGGTAGCCTTCCTGCAGCCAGTGTTCCTCCCTCTAGTACACCAGTGGCCCACACTATTGCCAAAGCAGCAATTCTTAAGGCAGAAATGAAAATGTTATTCCCTAATGAACAAATATGAATGGGTCCCCATCCTTCTAGAATAAAATGTCATGGCCTTAGGCCATTATTCAAGTTCGTTACCAACCTAGACAGGTTTCAGTTTCCTGTATACATTAAATTAAACTGGACTTTTAAATAATCCCTGAGAGATTTCATGCACTTATCAAATCCCTATTTTTTCTTAAGCTGTTCCTCCTCCATACAGTGCCCTTTCCTCCTCAATGCAATTCTCACATTCTTGAGTATCTAACTGTAAGGTCATTACATGAACTTCCTAACCCTGAATCTCCCTTCCAGAATAGATTCCATCTCTCCTCTTCTCAACCTCCCTGGGAAATTTCCCAAAACTCTATCTCAAAGGAGAAAATAAAAAATCTGGAATATTAATTGTGCTCTTGGGTTGGAGTTTACTCAGAGCAACTAACAACATCTCAAAGAAGGGCATACTGGGCAGAAGTCCATTTCTTCTACTAACATGCAACCCCTTTAAGATCAGAAGTTGTGATGTCCTCCTATTCATATGCCCTGGGACACATCGAACAGAACAAACAAAGATCAGACCAACTGCTGTTGAGTTCATGAAAAGCTCTTGTGTTACAAAATGGAACTTCTCCTCAGGACTTTCCTTGGCCCCGTCTTGGCAGGAACAGCCCACCAGGCCATGGCCAGGTGTGTCCAACTGGCCAACCTTTAGGTTAATAGTGAAGCAAAAAGCATTTGTACCACCCAGGGGCCTATCAATAAGCCATGTTTTCTGAATGACAAATTTGAAAGCTCTTTACCCAAAAGCATGGTACCTGTTTCCCTGCTTGTAAAAACAAATGGCAGAATTATAAATAAGATATGAAACTCAACCTCCAATGACACTTCCCGCTGACAGACTGATGATTCCCTTCAAAGGCTAGCTTGCTCTGGACGATGAAGCTTGGGTTGGCTTTGCAAAACAAAAAGATACAGAAGGATATAAATAAAAACAAATATTCCACACAATATCCTTTTATCATTTCCTGGCCATCAGCATTCTCTGAGACCAAAAGAAAACTGCTACAAGGGTTCAAGGAAAGAAAAATTACATTATTGGCAGAGGAATGTCTAGTTTCTCTATTGTAATGATTGACAGCAAAGTCTTCATCCAAATTTAAGTGTATTACACTTGAAATAGTTCTCCAACTTTCTTACCATCTGGTGATGACGGTCTATTTGGGGACTGAGAAAGAAGTGGATCTTGATATTTTAGAAGGAAATATAAAGGTCTCCCCTCCGGGAAGCTCTGTTGAAAACAATGACTTCTGGACCTGGAGTAAACAAAGGTCAACTGCACACGTGGTCAGGAAGATGGACTTTCTGTCACCAGTCTCCTGACTCACTCTAAGGCCTCTCTTGATCAATCATCTTCTCTGAGCCGCAGATTCTCAGTTTTCCACAGACAGATGCCCTCAAAGATTCAGCAATATAAGGACCTTCCAACTGAGAGCAGTAGAAGATTAAAGGTGTCTGTCTCCCCCAGTAAAGCCAGCAATGGAGAGTTCTGCAGATCTGTCCGAAAAGACTCAGGAAAAAGTTTTCAGCTTCTTAAAATTATTCTACAAGTGAGTAGATAAGCACTATCATGAGAATTTACAAGCTTTTGTAACTTCCCCCAAATCTGTAGTTTTGTCACTTATCAGCCCTGTCCCCAGGGTGATTAGCAGTTGAAAAATTGTAAAACCAAAAGCTGTCCATGTACTTATCAGAAACAGGAAGGGAGCTGGTGAAAGCGACCTCTTATTACATTGCTGGACAGGCTTCAAACTGAGGTCTGTGAGCGAGAGTCACAGCAGGCATATACAGAGGAGAGAAACACAAATCTAACATGATGACCATCATTGGTCAATAATTACGCACCAGGCATTTGACTCATTAATTTTCTCACTTACCATTGCTATGATGTAGGTTTTATTATTGCCCCTACATGTTGAGTACATTAGGACTTAGAAAAGTCTAACATTTGCCTAATTTGTTGGCAAATATTTGTAGGCCAATTTGTAGGCAAATATTGCCTTATTTAAAAAATAAAAACTTCATAAAGTGACAGAGTTGGCATTCAATCCAGAAAATTCAAAAAAAGTAATTAAAAAGATCAGTGGCTGTCCAGGGCTCCGGGAGAGGCAGAATAGATGAACAGAAGAAAGTCCAGGGCACTTTTAGGGCAGGAAAACCATTCTGTAGGATATTGTCATGGTGGACACATTACATTTGCCATTGTCAAAACTTGTAGACATGCACAACAGGAAGTTGTAAACTATAAACCAGACTCACTGATGTCAACTCCAGCTGATATGGTCCTGTCCTATAGGATTGAGTACAACTGTCCTCACGTCTTTCCTAGTCTGTCACCTTCATGGGAGCAGCTTGCAAAATATTTTCTCCCATAGAACGATTGGTGGATTAGAACCACTGACCTTTCAGTCAGCAGCTGAGCACTTAACCACTGTGTCACACACACAACTGAAAACCAGACTCTTAGCCACGGAGTCAATTCCAGATTATAGAGCCCCTTTGGGAGAGAGAGTAGAGCTGCCCCATGGGGATTCCAAGAATGAAAACTTTGCGGAAGCTGACAGCTACATCTTTCTCCTCTAGAGCCGCTGGTGGAGTTGCACTGCTGCTCTGTGCAGTGAGCATCCCAGCACCTAACCACTAGGCCACCAAATCTCCTTCATTGTGTCGCGCGGCCTACTTTTAAGGTAGCGTCTAAGAGCATGAAGTTGTGGCTGTATTTCTGGGATCTGACATCTGAGAGCTGTGAGAAAGTTATGTGAAGAGAGAGGGAAATGAGGATCTGCTCAACAGGGACTGAATGAAGAGGACATGAAACAGCTTGGTGTCTACTATAACGCGTAGATGCTACACAAAGGCAGCTAACCTCCATAGAACGAGCTCTTCTTCACAGTGCAGCCTAGGGATGGTGTCACCAAGGCTTTCGTTCCTAGGATTTGGCCAAGGATGAGTGAAATAAAAATTGTTAGGATTATTACAGACAAGGGTATTAAGGAGACATGCAATTGCAACACTTGTGCTTGAGTTCAGTTACTGCTCACTAGAGTGGACACTCCAGGACTTTGGAGACCCAGTGGATGACAGTAGCTGTTGGCAGCCTGTTATCAATCACATTGATAGTCAAGTGGAGGACTACTTAAATGCAGAATCTCGAGTGCCTAGAGGCAGATGCCTCACAACAGAGTGCTCTATGAGTTACCCTTCATTGCTCCTTCAGGACAGGGATTTAAACCACTGGAAAGTGAGTTCATGAAGCGCTTGCATGAAAAAGTGAGTGCCATCCCACTTACTGCCAAAGCAGACTCACTCACACCAGGGAATTATCAATAATTTAAAAAACAGATAACTAAAAAGAAATCTAAGACACAAAATTAAAATATATGAATTTCCAGAAAAATGATGAAGATAATAAGGTAGTTTAAAAAGATAAAGGACAATTTACCACATATACTGAAGTGTAAGCCAACCTGAATATCAGCCAAGACACCTAATTTTACCACAAAAACTGCATTTAAAATGTGCTGAACTCCTACGGAAGTAGATTTGGCAATATCTAAAACAGATGGAAATTGAGCTACCATACAACCCAGCAATCTTCCTACTGGGCATATACCCAGAAGAGGCAAGAAACAAACCACAGCCTGACATCTGTGCTCCAATGTTCATCACGGCACAGTTCACAATTGCAAGGAGTTGGAGACAACCCAAGTTTCCATCAACAGACGAATGGATGAAAAGCCTACAATGGAGTACTCGCATCCCTAAAAAGCAGTGATGAGCGTATGGTACACATCGCCACATGGGAAGAACTAGAGGAAATTATACTAAGTTAATAAACCAAGCACAAAAGGACAAGTACAGCAAGAGTCCACTGAGGTAAGCTTAATAAAAAAGGGGGGGGGGCATAGAGAAAAAGCCACTGTATACAAGCATTCCTGGGGTGAGGACTAGGTACTATGGCAGGGGCCAGACAAAATCCAGGGATACATATGGTAGCCAACTAAAAAGGAGGGGAGAGGGGAAAGACATGGGTAGTGGGGGAACAGGGCACTAGCCCACCCAAAGTGGGGGGGGGTATATTATTTATATCTCCACAGGGAAAGAGGGACCAGACATCAACCCAGTGTTCCTAGATGTGAATGCAACATACCAGACTGAAGCAGGGAACCAACAGAGAGGTGTGAAGGGCCAGCCCCAATCCCAACTATGTGGACAATTCCCTCATTCCCCCAGAAGAATTTACTTCTGAGGACAGCACTGAAGCTACAGCTCAGGGAGAGGGACATGTCTGATCAGAGCACACGGGAGCAAATGAAGGGGGAGGAAGAGAGAGTGGAGCACATCCTGGCCCACTAAGCCTTCAGGATGATATCCCTGCTCAGAGCAGCCAATGCACAGAGAGGACCATATGGCTGACCCCACTATGAGACACAACATCCCTCACTGACCTGTAGCCCTAGGGGGAGACAACACTGGAGACACAGTGCGGGAATTGCACCCAATCTGACCCCACCACACCAAGGCAAAACACTAAGGGCGTGCAACAGAACAAACAGCAAAGGGAGCAGAGCAAGGAAGTCCTGAGGGAATACCAAAAGTAGACATTGGGGCCAGGACGTGGCACCCCATCAGACTCAACCAGAAAACACTCCTAAAGGTCAACAAACAGAACCTGAACTATTCACAGGCTTTTCTTTATTCTTTTTCTTTTTATGTAATTGTTTTTTTATTGTTGTTGTTTTGTTTTCTTTTGTTGCATTGTTTTACTGTCTTGTTTTTTTCAAGCATATTATTATCTCTGCAGGTCTATCAAGTTAAGATAAGCCGAATGAACAATCTGGAGGAGAAAACAACGGGACCAACGGTTCCAGGGGGACATGGGAGAGGAGGAGGCAGGGGAAAGGAAGTGGGTGTTAACCAACCCAGGGACAAAGGAACAACAAGTGATCAAAAACCAATGGCAAGGAGGGTGTAGGAGGCCTTGTAGGGCTTGATCAAGGGCAATGTAACTGAGAGGAATCACTGAAACCCAAATGAAGGCCGAACATGATAGTGGGACAAGAGGAAAGTAAAAGGACATAGAGGAAAGAACTAGAGGCAAAGGGTACTTATAGATGTCTAAAGAGAGGCATGTGCATATGTAAATAGATTTATATATGACAATGGGGTAATAGATTTATGTGCATATATTTATAGGTTTAGTATTAAAGTAGCAGGTGGACATTGGGCCTCTACTCAAGTACTCCCTCAATGCAAGAACACTTTGTTCCATTAAACTGGCATTCCATGATGCTCACCTTCCCAGCATGATCACTGTAGACAAAACAGGTGCATAAGCAAATGTGGTGAAGAAAGCTGAGGTGCCCAGCTATCAAAAGACATAGTGTCTGGAGTCTTAAAGGTTTGAAGATTAACAAATGGCCATCTAGCTCAGAAGCAACAAAGCACACCAGCCTGTGTGATCATGAGGTATTGATGGGATCAGGTATCAGGCATCAAAGAACAAAAAATCATATCATTGTGAATGAGGGGAAGTGCAGAGTGGATACCTAAAGCCTATCTGTAGGCAACTGGACATCCCCTTACAGAAAGGTCACAGGGAGGAGACAGCCAGTCAGAGTTCAATATAGTACTGATGAAACATACAACTTTCCTCTAGTTCTTTAATGCTTCCTCCCCTGCCACCTCCCACCGACCATCATGACCCCAATTCTACCTTATAAATCTGGCTAGACCAAAGGATGTACACTGGCACAGATAAGAACTGGAAACACAGGGAATCCAGGACAGGTAAACCCCTCAGGACCAATAATGAGAATAGCCATACCAGGAGGGCAAGGGGAAGGTAGGGGGAGAAAGGGGAACTTATCATAAGGATCTGCATATAACCCCCTCCTGGGGGATAGACAACAGAAAAGTGAATGAAGAGAGATGTCAGACAGTGTAAGATATGACAAAATAATAATAATTTATAAATTATCAAGGGTTCATGAGGGAAGGGAGCGGGAAGGAAGAGGAAACATTGAGGAGCTGATACCAAGGGCTCAAGTAGAAAGAAAGTACTTTGAGAATGATGATGGCAACAAATGTACAAATGTGCTTGACACAAGGGATGTATGTATGGATTTTGATAAGAGTTGTATGAGCCCCCAATAAAATAATTTTTAAAAATTAAATAAATAAAAAAACATTTTTACATCCTACTTTGGGCAATAGGATTCTTCCAGGGTTCTGAGTGGCCATCTAAAGTGGCCTCTCCTCTTACAAAGCAAAGAATGAACAAAATAAAAATGCCTGGGAAAAATTAGTCTAATGGTCCAACAGACCACATGAACCTCAGCCACCACAACCCCAAGACCCAAGAATTAGTGTCTGATATCACTATCAACTGTTCCAAAGAAGGTCACATTAGAAGGTCCTAGATCAAGTGGGATAAATAAGTGAAGCAGAACTCAAAATCATCCAAAGACCAAGCTTACTGGTGGAACCCCTCCCACTGTAGCCCTGTCACCCTTGAAGCCTGGAAATGAATTCACCACCTCTGCTCAATTCTCAGTCCAATGATGGAAATAGGCAAACAGTAGAGAGAGTTGCACTTCTTAGGATACTCAGCTCTTTGAGATCAAAAGGGCAGCATTTACCCACAGACAAAATTCAATGAGGAGGAGGAAGGAATGGAAGCAGGGAAAAGGGAAGTACAGGGAGGAAGTGGGATAAGTAATGTTACGTTGTATGGATTGCAATGACTTGAAAGGAAATGTACGTGAATTATTGAAGGGAAAGTGAAATTGTTCTCTAAACCCTTGCCCAATCCAAATTTTAAAATAAAAGCTCTTCCCTCACAGTCCAATGCAAGTCAGTTCCAGATTTAATTAGAATAAAGAGTAATGTTTTAAATACTTCCTCTCTACCTGCCATCACTCTTTTCTGCAAGAAAACAGCTCACTTTTCTTACCTGAGCCCTAGCAAAGAGGATTTAAATCTACGATGCCCAGGTTCCCTCATGTGATCAACGCCTTGCTCGTTTTTTCACATCTTCCCACTTTACAGCTCAGCGCAGGCCACAGCTTTCCAACATCAGATCACACTTGCACTCCATCCTGATTCTAACTTGATGACCTTTTCTTCTTCTACTCATTCTTGTCTGTCTTCTCAAATTCTCATTTAAATTCCCTCCTTCGCCATTGAACCGCATCATACACCAATTTAACATAAGAGTATATATGGAGTGATAAAAACATATCCAATCTATAATGCTAAGTGAATACAATTAAATTCCGAAGGTTACATTGAATGTAATGCTGTGTGTTATTGTTATGTGCCATCCATTGGTTCCAACTCATAGCAACCCTAGAAACAACAGAACAAAACACTTCCCGGCCCAGCACGGTCTTTGCCCCAGTGCTGTCCGAGCCCTTTGTTCGAGCCACCGCACCAGTGCTTCTCATCAAGTCTCTCTCTTTATGATGACTGAGAAGAAGGAAGAGGTTGTGACTTTCTGAGGGATTAGCCACGGGAAACTTCATGGACATATTACAGAATAGTATTTATAAACCAAACCTGTATGTTAATTTGTATAAACATGTAAGAGAATAAAAACAAATCTGAATGACCATCCTCAGCTGGTAACAGGTATTATCTCAAGGGAAGGAGCTGGAATTGAGGACAGG